ATTTGAAACCGAATGTCGATCTGAGTTTTACATATATAGATATATTTAGGATTTATTGCTAAAACTATAGCTAAATACTTGAATAACAAAATGATTGAAAATATATTTTGTCATTTATTATTGACAAAATAAAAGAAGGATTTTCGCTCGATTCTTGAGGTGTGGCAACGCTCAAGTACATTAGACAAAAATTAGGAGACAACAAGGTACAATGAAAAAACTACAAATCAAATAAAGATAGAAATACCATGGTCAAATTAAAAAGATGAACAAACAAAAGGTCTGGTTTTACCTTCATCGGGAAAGCTAGAACCTAAACATTTGAAAGCCAGGAATGTATAAATACTTCGAAACGATAAGAGCTATATGACCAAAAAAGTATAGCCAAATTCATCTAAATAAACTCATCATAGATACCAGGTTTAACATTGTGTACGCCAGAAGCGCGTTTCGTCTGCAAAAGACTCATCAGTTACGCTCGAATTGATAAAGTTAAAAAGGCCAAATAAAGAACGAAGTTGAAGCGCATTGAGGACCTACAATCACGAAAGGTTTTGTCAAATGCAGCTTAGGTAATCTATATCCGTGGTAGAAAATCCTTTGTATTTCGAAAATTTCTAAGTTTTGGAAACAGTTAATTAGGTCTTTCCACTTTTCTGTGGAAAGACCTATTGTATTTGTTCTGATGATAAGATGCCAATTTTAACTTTGAGTAAACACGAACTAGCTTCTTTTCAATAAATTTAAAAATTGCTGTGGAAAGACCTTCAAATGTTCTCTGAACAATTGGTTTTTAATCATTATTTTTTCTTCCGCCAAATTTTGTTATCGCGTAAAATTTTTGTTTCGCATTATGTCGCTAAGATATTTCTTATATAGTATCATACAGTTTATGCACTTTTTAATTTCACCCATTCTAAGCCGAACAATTTTCTTTGTAAGAGTTATCTCCCTTTTCACTGTTTATCAAGTGTGTGCATCTCCTTCGTAACAAAAAAAGATATCGACAAAATTCTTTTTCTAAATTGTTCGTTACATCCTCAGGAATTTTTGGCTAATTTGGATCGACGCGATTCGATGAAATTTTAAAGGAGTTATCTACCTTTATCAAATAAATTTGTCGGTATGTTTTTTTAACTCATAAACCGTTAACCGTATAACCCTGGAATCTTTTAATTTGAGGTCCCTAGGTCCTAACTTAGAAAATGAGGCCAAGGTCAAGGTCAAGTTCTCAATTTTGACTTTTCCTTGTTTTTGCATTTTCTCAAAAACTTTTAAAGATATATATGAAACAACAAGTGCAAAATGTTTGCTTTATTGTAATGAAGATATGTTACTTTTTGTCTGAAACAATCTAATGGCATCTTATAGGAGTAAGTGCCCCTGAAATGTCCAATTATAAGGTTAATTGATTATTACAACTTGGTTCATTATAAAGCCATATGACCTTTTACAAAAGGTTGGATGACATATGACCTTGAAAAATGACAACCGTAAGTGACCTTGAGAAAACCTGAAGTAGCCATTTTTGCACTTTCTTCATGGAAAAGTACTCGGAATCCATATATTTTTTTTTTAATACATCACTGAAGACTAGAAATGATTTTCGATAAACCGGAAGTGGCTAATTATCTCCCAGTTTACAAGCAAAAGTATAGAGAAACTTTATATTTTTGGAATCAGTGTGAAAGAAACTATTATATGAGGCCGAAAGTGACATTTACTTCACTTCAAGTAGCTAATTATCTCCCTTATTTCACTCAGAAGTATATAGAAACCACTTATTTATCGCATCAGTATGAAGAAACTGATGATAAGATGCCAATTTTAACTTTGAGTAAACACGAACTAGCTTCTTTTCAATAAATTTAAAAGTTGCTGTGGAAAGACCTTCAACTGTTCTCTGAACAATTGGTTTTTAATTTATAATTATGATTATATCAGAATTGCTGACTACAGGGCTGGTGACCTCAACCAGCAGTGACATCGACACAGTTGTTGTGAATAAATTCATCATAGCTATAAAACAAGGTTTAACCCTACTTTTCCTCCGAAAATGCCTGTACCAAGTCAGGAATATGACAGTGGTTTTGAACTCGTTCCGTTGGTTGATAACGTTTGATTTTGTCAGTTTTTATGGAATATTTTTGTTATACCTTTTTCACAAGTTAAAGCGATCATTATGTAATGTTATTCGGCTTTAATTTTAAAAGACAAACAGAAATGCAAAGCAATTCAAAAGACCTAGGATCCGCTGTGATAAGATATAGATGAAAGCAAGTCAATTCTAAAATACGACGTAACTCCCAACACATGCGAAACCCAAATATAAAAAATACTACGTAAACAGACCCATAACTCCTTACATGAATTACATAAAAAATAAAAACTACACTTTAGAAATGCATGCGTCCGAAGCACTTTTCCTGATTTACCTTCATCGAGAACATTCAAAGTCGTATATTTCAGAGAATGTATAAGAACCGAAACAGTTTAAGTGCTATATGTCCTTTTCATACTAGTAATTTCTTAATAAATAAACGGACAATTTAAGACAGGTTTGTTATAAGTCATGTCAGTACCAAGTACTGACTACTGAGCTCATGATATTTATTGGGGACTGATAGTCTACCAGCAGCGGTAACTACACATTTCTGTAGAACATGAAAACAACACTTTATAAATGTTATGGGTCCAAAGCTTATGCTATAAATTATGAATGTTTTGATATATACTATGCTCTCACTGTTGTATTATGTGTATGCGTTGTCTTAGTTCGTTTTACTTACCATCGTGCCCAAAGACTTTATCTATTTTTATGGGTCTGTTATTGTATCTTTTAATGATGCTATTGACCTGATACTAAGGTCAGGTTATATATAATTGAAGCGTTATCAAGTGTATGCCTTTTTAATTAAATTTTTAAGGTTAAAGACACATTTATTCTACTATGCTGAACAAAGAACTTTAATTACAGAATCCTGCTAATTTTAATGATTGGCCAAAATGTAACATTGATGACAGTAAAACGTGCGTATGACAAATAAAATAAAACAAAATACCTCTTTAGTTCCTTCTGTCATAAGAAACCAACTTAGCAAGAAAGAAACGTGGGAACTGTAATTAACGTCACGATTAGCCAAGCTATAAAAACGTTTGAAGTTGTTAGACTTTACCAATCTGCTTCTTGTTTCTTTTGTGTAACTATTGGCTACCCTTAAATCGATATATAATGTAAAAACTACAATTAAAACAATGTGTTCTTATTCCTCATGTACCCATTTAACCCCATTCAGAAGGAGATTTTGATCATTTCCTATAAAAAAAAAGTGAAAAAAAATCTGTCAGATAGTTAATTTTTTATCAATTCATTGAAATTTATTTCAGCCAAAAATCGTTTTACTACAAAGAAAGTAAACCTTAATTGATTCACCAAGATAAATTACAGGTACACGTCTTTACATGAAGGGAGTACAATTACGACATTATATATACTGAATGCTCTGCGGAATTTCAATGAAATCATTGGTATTTGAAATTTGAAATATGGTATACGTCAATGAGATACCAACACAATGACCCCAAATTAGTATGGCAAAGACCCTATAAATCAATATTTGAAACACTTAATCATTTTAGTGAAAAAAGTAGATGGTTAGCACTGCCTTTATGAAATAAGTTAAGAATTGTTCAGTGCTTTATTTAAACAGTTGAGGAGTTTGATACCTACTCGCACATAGAACAGACACATCTACTGCTTCCTCGTGGAGCAACTAGTTCTTATCAAAAATGAAAGGAATGTGCACTGTACGAAGATATTATTTGAAAGTTTAACTCGTATCAATTCGCCTGTAAACTATGCAATATATACTAAACAAAAAGATTTCAGGACCATATCTGTATGCTTTATTATTGACAACGGATCAACTGATATTAATTCATTAAAAACTTTATGGAATAGAAGTTTCAGTTGTTATCACTTCCTTAAAAAATACAGATTTCTGAAATTCAATTTTTGCCCCGAAAAAGTCTTTGCATTAAAATGTGCTTTGTTTGTGTTCAAAGTTCTAAATCTACTAAAAAAGCAATATTTTTTGAGGTCGTTTTCAAAGTTTAGAATTAAGAATTTTGATCTTTTGGAGAGTTTTGTGGGTTAACATTAACCATGTCTGTTAAAACTGGTCAGTTAATCTTAATTTAACAGTATTGGGGAATTTCTTGCTTCTTATAAAATATTTAGTATTCATATATTTGATAGACCACAATTATCAAGCACTGATTTTATTTTCTTACACCACGCTATGGTCCCATTATAGTTATCAGGAACAAGATTGTAGAAAATAGCAGGAAGTTTTTTTCCCGGTTACAAGCTGTGTCCAATAATTAATAGTTCGTAATTTGATAAGAATTTATGTATCGACCAAGTTTCCATATATCATTGAGTCAGGTGTGGATTTTTTTTAACGATAAAGCAGTAGTTTACAAAATGAACAAATGAAATGTTTACAAAATAGCGTACAAGAGCACTAAATTAAATATATAAGGTGTAAGAGTATTCCTTTGTCAATCGGCTTGTGTTTTTCATTATTTGAATATTAGTTTTCGCTATAAATGATGTTTATAAAATTGAATATATCATTATGCACATGTGCTATAATTGCCAATGAGACAATCGCCGACCCAAGACCTACCAAAGTACGAGAGAGTCAATATCCACATGTTTCTGGTAGTTCTCTTTCGTTAATATATGCTAGAAGTTAATGGCACTCAGTTCTAGGAATTTTTTCCGGTTTCTGTACAGTTTAGATAGTTTAGATGTATTGATTTTTTTTAGAGTGTATCATGTTAAAAAATAAAAAACGATACTCTTTATTATATAATGCATAATAAAGCCAGTATTAACAATTCTTAAATTTATACTTAAAATTATTGACATCTTTCTTTATACGAAAGGATACATATCAAATACAAACCTCTGCATAATATGAAATATTGAATGTTTATGGATTTCTAATTCATCAAACAACCTTTAGCTTCGAAGTAACTGAAACTGATTTGTATACAACATAACTTAGATTTTTAATGTCCATGACAAGTCACAAGTACAGATGGTTTATTATAGAATAAAGGTAAGAATTCATTCTTTAATATGCTGTGCGATTTGAATTAAAGTTTAGTTGCTGAAGTATTAACAATGGGTATATTCTATTTTGAAAATAAGTTTTTTTGAATTATGATAAAACTATTTGTTTTATTGTTTTAATATTTCTAATGAGTAAAACAACCGTATTGCTAAAAAAGGACTTTGTGTCTTTACGACAACTCTTCATTACAACCATGGAAACTCAAACGTTTGCATTCGATCATTTGCAAAATGTTAGAGAAAAAAAAGGATCGATCACCAAGATGCATTACACTTGTTACGGTTGTCTTGGGTCTACCTTTTACTTCTTTCGTCGATAACACGGAAGACAGCAGTTAAATAGTACAAACCGCATAGAAATTTAATTCAGCCGAACAAATATTAAAATAAATGCTGATGAAATGTAGATAATTGAACAACTACATAAATATATAAAATTGTCAATAAGTGGAAAACGTGAAATTATTTCGTATTAGCTATATATGTGTGTGTGTGTGTGTGTGAAGCCCTGTGTCCGAACACTGGCCAATATGACAAAAGCATCATACGTAACAGGATAATCACACTTATCCTGCCGAAGCGCTTAATGTCTTTCTGTATTTGATTGGACTTTTTATTGCCCAAAGCTTTAATGATTTGGGTTTTGAAAGTGAATTTGCTAGTCTTCTACTTCTCTTAAAAATGGTCCTTTTACTTGTTTCATTTGTGTTTTTTAGTTTTCTGATTCACCATTTAACATTTTAGGTTAGGTATTCTCTAATTATTAATGAAGCACTAGTATTATAAATATGACCTTTATACTGCAACTAGCTGTTTTTATTTCCTAAATATAGTAACAAAGCTTTATTTTGTGCAATGTCAATTTCATCATGGATCACTTTTTCCACAATCGGGGGTTCATAGGGATGAAAATAAGTTTGAAATTTGCGCTACAATTTTAATAGCTATCAATGTTGTAATTTAAGTTGAAGTATAAAAACAATATTAGGTCAATGTTGGAAAAATATAAACTTTTTTGTATTCGGCACAAAACTGGTGTGGGGCTAGGTAAAACCTCGCCCTTCCCCAGTTTCTCAGCCTCATACAAAAAAGTTTATATTTTTCTGACATTGACCTAATATTGTATATGTATTTTAAGTTGATATAGTAATTCAGATAATTTTGAGAAGCAAACAGACTATATTTTATTCGGACTTTTATATTGAGAAAACGATTATATTGGATAATAGTTATGATACAGACACATTTTTTGGTATACATAAACCAGGCCGTCCACACACACAGGATATAGACGGATATTTCCAGTTATGATTTCTAACTTGAAATAATATGACTACATAAAATGAAGACGAAATTCGTACGTATACATACTTGTAATAATTATACTTGCACCATCAAATTAACGCTCCGTATTGTGACCCATTTCTATTTAGTTTGCAAGTATATGGTAAGCCCCTTTATATATGTTGAATGCAGTAATATTCCTTGTACGAATAGCTACGAAGAGCGCGATATTGCAAGACTTCGTCTGAGGACATTTGCACCAAGGTTTTTATGGTGTCCTATTACATTTTTAATAATAAATAATGTTTTTACAGAGCGAAAAATGTCCTGGGACTACTACATTTATATTCAACAGCATCTATCGTCTGTTCAATATTATTTTCTTTCTGCATGAAATAAAAAATTGATTGTGCTGCAGATTATGATGCTTTGTACAGTTACATGCATTTCTTTATTCCCATCTTAATTTTACAGTTATGGTCTTTGTTATGCCAAACATTCATATATATTATGGTACAAATGCATACTAACTTGTTTAATGTTTGGAGCTGTTTTTACACTAAAAACCCTGGCCTTTTTTAAAACTGGTATCTTTGTCTTGAAAATTTTTTACTATAAACTGTATGACTTGGAACTGGAATTTAGTACCTGGAATATTTTAAAACATGTTTGTGACCTTCAGAAGTCTTTTGGCATTTTTAGTTGTAGGGTTTCGTGTAATTGACATATATCTCAAATTGTATTTTATTCATAACATTTCTACCAATGTGTCAAAACTATTACTTTAGTCTGGGAGAACATCTAGTCGATTCTTATCTTTTGTTATTGCAGTAGGTCGTGATATCCTAGACTGTTTATGAAGTCTTTATACTAAATCCATTGGATGTGTACTGATTGATATTGATCTTTTAATACATGCTTTTTTTCATTAGTTGTTAATGGGTTTTAACTAGCTGTCAGTAACTGCAGAGTGCAAGTTATGGAACGCCACAGCTGTCTTATGTGGAACTCTGATATTACTTTATGTTGTTTTATTATTACTTGATGATATTTTGTCTTTACTTAATATGGTTTTGACATTACGTAATGATGTTTTGATATAACTCAATATGGAATAGTCATTACTTAATGATATTTCGATATTACACGATATGGTTTCGTATTGACTTGATATAGTTTTGTCATTACTCAATATGGTTTTGTCATTACTCGATGTGGTTTCACCATTATTTGGTGTGGTTGTGTCATTAGTCAATGTGGTTTTAACATTACTTGATGTGAATGTGACTTAACGTTATGTAGTTGTTTCATTACATGATGTGGTTTTGTTATTTTGTAATGATGATTTGCCTATTCTTTATATGGTTTTAACATTACGTAATGATGTTTCAAAATTTGACGATTTTACACTACATGATGTGTTTGTTTCATTATTTGATGTGGTCCTGTCATTCTTTGATGTCGTTATCCCATTACTTGATGAGGTAAAATCACGTGACCAATTCGGAAAAAATATGTTCTGTTTTTAAACAGATTTCAATATATCATTTGTATAATGTGCTTCGGATGGGTATCGCTATCCATTCAGTTAAAGTTCAAATTAAAGTTCGAGTGGTTGTTCAGAGTTATTTGGTATGAAAAAGGGAAACGGCAGACAATAATAAGAAAAAATGTATTAAAAAGTTTACAGTATTTCGTACATAATTGGGATATCCCCAAACCACTTGGTCTTGTTGTTTTTATCCTAAGTTCTCAAACGGAAGCAGTATTTTGTAATAAATTTGTAAGATATTCCACGAAACCCTGTGTCTCGCCTGATATTGCTGCTGTAAGTGTAAAAGCGTCATGTCGATCGGCTGTACATTTATCTATACATTTATCGGTAAAAACAAAATAAAAAAAAATGTTTTTCTGTAGATGCTTTTTCTTGAAATTGAGGAATAACTCCTATACAAGTTTTAAAACACTTCATGGAGGTTTACAAATTTATCATGTCAAACAGTTTAATTCGGTTTTATTTAACTAAAACAAAACTGTATGGTTTTCAACAATAAGCAAAACCTATACCCTATAGTAAGCTATAAAAGGTCCCGAAATGAAAAATTTAAAAAACTAGAAACCTAACGATCTATAGATAGAAAGATAGATAGATACTTTATTCTCTAAAAACTAATTGCAAGTTTACAGAGAAACATACAATATCAATTCAGATACAATAGTTGAGGTAAACAAATACAGTATGATATTCTAAAAGTTCAAAATTATGATGGCATACATGTTTAGTAACATGTATAATGGAAGGTTAAAATCAACAGAAATAAAAAAAAAATGGAGATGGAGACGCCGACGCCGACGCCACTATCGACGACGAAATATAGGTTTGTTGTGTCTCACTGCCGCTACATTGATGTCGCAGGCTCGACACAAATCAAAAGACTTGAACTTTATTGTTAACAAATGAAACACTTCAAATCAACTCACACTAAAGTTACAGGGAAACGGAGGGAGGGGGCTCGGACTTAGCGACAAAGCATAAATACTATAAAATAAGAATTCTCCGAATTTTGTTTTAGCGAACTTTTATGGATATCAATCTTTTATTTGTAATCAATTGAATTCCCTGATCTACCTCGCACTAATTGAAAAATAAAGTTTTTTGAATATCTGTTTCACATGTGACGACGGACATGTTCCAGTGGTCGTAACCATAATACCGTTATCTTTTCATTGAATGTGAAATACCAAATAAAACCAAATCACTGGGTTTGTACTTTCTCGAATAACACGACGGGTGCCTTTCTGGAGCATCCGAGATCACCCCGATGGATTTATATTACCCAGTCATACCGATCTATTGAGTCAGCCAAATTAAACTGTTTTGTATGCCACTGCAACTGAAAGTTGGGGAGCATATTGTTTTCCCCCTGTCCGTCCGTCCGTCTGTCCTTCCCATTATGGATATATAGTTATTCCGCATAACTCCTCCTACAGTTTGAATCCTAGGAAGTTTTCTCTTTACTGTCTGTTTGTAAAATTATTGAAGGTGTGCATGTGGTCAGAGTTTTTATTTTTATTATCTTTTGCTCTTTTTGGAGATAATTGAACTTTTTTTTGTCATTTTTGGGGTATAAGCGGTTAATTCAAATGAATTGAGTGCGGGGGCATCACTTTGTCTTGTTTACATTTTTTTCTCGTTTTGTGCTGTAACACAACTGTAACAGTCCGATGTAAGGTTAGGATTTAGCGCTCACATACATGTTAAACTCCACCACGTGCACTTTCTTTATGTACCTGCCCCAAGTCAGGAACATGAAATTCAATTGTTGTCGTTGTATAAATGTGTGTCATTTTTTTTGTAGATTGTTTAAATATAAATAAGAACGTTTGTTTTGTCGTTTGAATTTTTTCACATGGTGCATGGTGGCCTTTTGTAGCTGACTATACGGTTTGTTGAAGGCTGTACGGTTGCCTATATATGATTTCTTACAACCACTGCATTTAAACTCTGGTGGGTAGTTGTCTCATTGTCAATCACACCACATCTAACTTTATTTCAACTTTTATGTTGCGTTTTGTAGACTGTAACATTGTTTATCTTTTGTACGCATACCCAGGGAGACCTCTTTTCGGAAGCCCGAGCAAAGTCCTTGTTCCGAGAGAAAATTCAATTACGAACTCATATAAGATAGCTCCAATTTCAAC